GCCAACAAAACTACCAAACTTTGTTAATAACTCTAAAGTTCTTAAAAACTTCTAGATAATTTTCTTTAACGCTATTAAGATTCGCAAACACTTCCAAACTTCATAATCAGCACCAAACATCATAAACACACGACTAAACTTTATTAAACTTTAAAACGCCATTAAACGTTATAACAACATAAAACTTTAGAAAACCACTAAACTTTATATTGCACAACTTAACTTTCTAACACCATTAATAAACTTTATAACACGATTTAATTTTAAAACACCATTAAACACATTATTATATCACTATTAAACTGCGGAACACAAATTAACTTCAAAACACCACTTAACTTCATAACACCACTAAAATTTTAACATTACTTAACTTAATGATAACCCCTTAAAGCTTCATAAACATCTCTCTATTTTGTAAACCCTTCAGTGTAAGTTTTACCAGGGTCTCTCAAACGTTTCAAAGATTCATTATCTGAACTATTTATTAAACACCAATAATATCATAAATATAATTGAACTTATAAACACTCGGTATACTCCGACATCCCTTCGAGGCGTGCACGTCGCTCGGAGTGCATAGGTAACACCAGACGGGTGACCAAATTAGGTCACTTTGAGGGTGTGACCTAACTAAAGGCGAAGAGCGTGGCTCTCAAAAGATGCAGCTGTCTCCCGGAAGAGGTGCCTTTCTACTTTTTTCTTCCTGCGTTCATCGATGCGAAGAATCTGGCTCTGGAGAGAAGTCCTCCGTAGCGGCTCTACGACCAGCGACGTAACAGAGGCCGACAGTCTGGGATATATGGTATAGCCGACGCCCATAAATAAACTTAAAAATCATCATCACACTCGGTTTATGCTACGCTGCAGACAATACGAATTCTTCTATTCCACTGGAGCAGTTTACCTACCACTCCCCCGACTTTGTTACGTTGCCCATACCTAACAAGCTTCAAGTAAACAATAACTGCGGTTTCCGCTCAACTCAGTCGATATAATACACAAAAAGTGGCGAAAATTACAGTTTTCCCCGGGTTTATGACAGGAATTTTCCAATGAAATCAATAAAAATTTAACATTTAAAAATGAAACTCATATGAAAGAGCAGTTTGAATACTGATACTTTATGCAATTTTTCTAGTTATACAGTTATAGGCTCATTCAAAAAATCATAATGATCATACTTCACATCAGCCCGTGTCTTTAGTGACTTGACGCCGCGAGAGAGTAAATTAAAATATATGATGAATAACAAAAAAGATTAGTTTTTAAACATATTAATTATAATATCAGAGATATATCCAGTCAAGTACAAATTTATTCAACTGGTAAATTAAACAATTATGATACTCAATTCTCATTTTTATGCATAGGTACATACGTTTTAGTCAATGAAATGATCAAATTTGTTGTCATTTATTAATTATTGACTCACATACCTCTGAATTCAATTTTTAATAAGTTTGTTAAATTATAACAGTTTAGTTCTTTCATTTGTTTTTAAAGAAAAATAAAAAAAAAGAGTCAAAGATATCAAAATCATAAAAATGAATATAAAGCGTTTTGGTTGAAACCCCGTCAGAGGTGAAAGTCGTTTTTTCCTGTGAGCAAGAAACTTTACTCATTTTAAAGTAGCGGTTTGTTCCATGAACATATTCGAGAGTGTTTCAATTAATAAGCTTATAGCTTCCAACACAGTCGAACAAACTACATTTAACTCACTGTCTTTCTGTGAATCGCATGCCGGGAGTGTTCATCATCTGCCATCCTACTTTAATTATAAAGCATGGTTGAAGAATGTCGACCGTTCATTCTCTTTCTATCGGTACGTGCACGTTTAAGAAAAGGCACAGGGCATCGGCAGAAGATTTAAAGAACTTATAGTATATGGCAAATAAAGGAAATCGAAATTTGTATCCTGCGGACAAGCTACCGATGTCCTGACAGAAACCGATAGGAGTGGCAATGCAAAGAAGGCAGGGACGACAAAGAGTGTGCTAGGTAGCTTAAGGTCTTCAGCGTACCCGTGTATATACTATGACATGACGTGCCGCGTCAGATGAAAAAACAAAAATATTTAAAAGCGGCTTATAAAGTTTTGGAAGCCAGAACTAGGTGCTACTGTAGGTGCGTGATCGCTAAACATTTACATACTTTTGTATGATGCACGGAAGGGCACCTGAGGTCTTTCTTTACCAGTAAAGCTGGAACGTCGCCATATGACCTATACTGTGTCGGTGTGACGTAAAACCCAATTAAACAAACGAACAAACCTATATAGCTACTTTTGACATGTCCCCGTACATCATGTACCCTACAGCGGAAGGTTATTTTGTGCCTAAAGCTGCGTTCTCACTTACTCCCGGCAGAGCCCAGGACCATCCCGGTAAGTTACCGGGATGATCCGGGACGATCCGGGGTGAAATTATTGTTGCGGTCACACTTTCCCCGGCAGCACTACGGTGGTTCCCAACTAACCACCCAGGATGCGCTCCGGATCACCCAGGCAGAGCCCAGGTGAAGCTACGGTTCATGCCGGTGCTTCCCCGGTCGTTCCCTGATGACGCCGAAAGAGCCCCGGTTGACGGTCGATCCAGGCAGAGCCTCGGCAGAGCCCAGGACGATCCAGGCAGAGCCCCGGTATAACCCCGGTGGATTGAAAACGCCCGAAAATGATAGCATGATACATAATTTTTATTTAATATAATATCTATTGTTCCGTAGCTCTACCGGCTATATCATACCCCGGATCATTCCCGGTTTGTGCCGGCAGAGCTACGGTGCTTCCCCGGTTTAACCCCGGTCGTTCCCATCAGAGCTAAGGATGAAGCCGGCAAAGCTATACCTTCCCGGATCATCCCGGACCACCCCGGTGATTCCATCCGGGGTCGAATGCCGGATGTTCTCGGATTATCCCGGATCATCCCGGACGTTGCCGGCAGAGTTACGGATGTACTCCGGTTGTTCCCGGTCGTACCCCGGTCGTTCCCGGATCACCCCGGACGTCTACCGGGGCTCTGCCGGGATGTAAGTGAGACTGTAGCTTTAACGGGCGAATGAACCCTTGTTAAACATAGAATACTTTCTTATTGTCGTTTATTAAGAAATTCAAGAAATTGTTCTTTTTTTAGCAGATGTTATCTTTTTGTTGCATTATGCATCTTTTGCAATCCGGTCAACTCGTCCCCTGGTCAACTCGTCCTCTGGTCAACTCGTCACCTTTATGGTCAACTCGTCCCCTACTTTTGGTCAACTCGTCCTCAAAGAGTCAACTCGTCCCTAATATGGTCAACTCGTCCCCTACTTTCGATCTATTCGTCACTATTATGTTGTAAATCAATGTCTTTAAATAGTTCTTTTATGGTAAAATTAATAATGAATTTGATTGGTATCGAAATATTAATAAAATAACGTCTTTTACGTTAAATTTTAATGATCTTTATCTAAGCGCACGTGCATAGCTTTGATGTCAAACTACAAAGACAGGTGAGTTTGCAAACATTCAATTAATGTTTAATTAATCGGAGTTTTAATGATAATTAAAACTAAAATTAGGTACAACTCTTTGATTTTTACCTCCTCCTGAATGGATTAAAGACTGACGACAGATTAACAGAAATTAGAAAGTGCTAAAAACTTTATGTCGGTGCGTATTGATCTCATTATAGAAGGATCAATTAAAAAACATGATAATTGTTTGTTGTGAAATTGTCAATATAAAAGTTGCCCTGATAAAATATAAGGTCTTCCTCCACCAATAAAGCTGGAAAAAATCGACGAAAAAATCTCGGCGGACGCTCTAGGATGGCCCGACTTGAGTGTACGTCGCCCATATGGGCTTTCCGGCGGCGACCTTAAATAAACGCATTGAAAAAAAAAAAAAAGATTTATTCTTAAAATCATATTTGCGTTGTACGTTATATCAACATTGGATTATTTTTTATAGTGCATATTAATAATTTCTTAGAATTCCATATTGTTGGATTATAGACTGCATCTTATATAGTGTATTGGAATAAAAATTGTCAAAGAATTTTTATTTGTTATTATCTTTTTGTAAAGGGTATAAAGCCAAATTTAATGAATTTATTAAGTTTCTGATTTTTTTAAATTGCATTTCATTGTAATATTATGGTCCATTATCATAGGAGTTGTATATACATACATACCTGTTGAAAGAGTTAGTATTTATTATTTATTTTTTCAATATTTTTTTAAAATATAAAATCTGTACAATAATATTTGTCGTGGATATTAACTGATTGAAAACATAAAAGTAATTACCAAATATTCAATTGCCATTTAATAATTAGTAAAGATTAATATTAAATTTCCATAAATAAGTCTTTAAATTGATCTCAAAGAGGAGCTGTATAAAACCGAGTTCTTGTATAAAACAAGTCAACATATTGAATGTATTATTTGTATTTAATTCAAACATTTTCATATATTTGACCATACACCATCAAAAACAAAATTCCACATTTGAAAAATAAAATTTTATAACAACCTTTGGCACGATTTTCACGCGATTTGTATAATTTCAAATTAAAGACACGCGTTCTTTAAATATATAAATACGTATCCAACCACAGAGGCAAATGTGTCTTTAATCCTATTATCAAATTACTATGTGTTTACTTTAATAACCAAAGGCACGTGTCATGATATATTTAATTAACAACAAAAAAACTCCAGATTTTCGCATACAAAAAGCGTCAAAATATGTCCAATTCAGTAATTTTATAATATATTACTTTAACAGTCTATAATAATTTATGAATTATATGAAAAACAAATAATAATAAAATATAGGGGACGAGTTGGGGACGAGTTGACCAGGTGACGAGTTGTCCAAGGGACGAGTTGACCAAAAAGGTGACGAGTTGACCAGAGGTAAAGTTGACCAGGGGACGAGTTGACTCTGAATCCATCTTTTTGGTATTTACTGTGCATTATTGTGGTTACCAAAATCGGCGAATAACCAGTCTATAAAATTACTTCCGTTGACAAGTATGGCGGGTACTGCATTGGTATGCAAATTTTTAACACGATTATATTAAATTCATGCTTAAGACATTCAATGAAGGGTAAATTAAGATAAGGCATCCATCATTAAACTTGATAACTTAACAATTACCCAACGTATACTTACTGTTCGGTATTTATGATTATGTTGTGACTGTTGACAAATTATCAATGAACTGATAAACATGGTAAATGACATTCAACACTGACACTGGTCAAATTTTTCGATTCGTTTTTCAATAAATGGCACGCCAGTGGACTGCTTCCTTGGTGTCTTAACTTGTACTTGCACCATGTGTCAAGGAATTGGTAGTCACCACTTGCATGTGGACGTGACTGAGCGGCTTCAACATCCTCTCCCCTAAATAGTGAACAGTTCAGAACAAGAACAGTGACATTCTCCCCCGCTTTATCAAAATTCATCCTTGAATTTCTCGGGTTTACAGAGCCTTGCCAAATAAACCCAGAGTTATATTCAGTGAGGGTCCCACATCGAGCGCCAAATGTCACAGGGTAGGGAAAGTGTGCAGCCTGACAGGGACTGGAACCCGGGACCCTCGGAATTCTGTAATGCGGCTTTACCAACTGAGCTATCCGACCACCTACACATTCTCTCACCTAAATAGTAAACAATTCTGAACTGTGGCATTTGTTCAAGGGTATTTAACAACTTGGTATTTCACAGGAAAAAATAACTTAGAAAAATAAGGCATTTGGTGTAAGCATTTAGAAGTCCCGAGGTATTTAAATGGTCTTTCATGAACATGTTTCAAGTTGTTGTTTTTTTTAATATTAACACTATTTTTTTTTATTTTTATTTTTTTAAATCATCACTTTACAATAATGAATTGTCTGCTATTTGGATGCCAACATTAGACCACTTATCTTGTTGGTAGTTTATTGTCCTATTATATTATGTCCTAAATAGATCAGAGGAATAAGGAAGCTCTAAAAATAGAAAATTTCATTAAATTGAAATGAAATCTGAATTCTTCTCAAGTTTCGTACAAGTTCTCATGGTGTAATAAGTATTGAAATTTGTTTTTACCGAAATTGTAGAGCGCTGCTTCTAGAGATAAACTGGTAATCACTTTCACATGAGGATGTGTTATTGCATATAGAAAAATTATCATTATAGGGGGCACGCTTTCACAATGTTTTATATTTGCAGGTTTACAAAAATTGAAATCACTATAGTCTATACAATATTAATAATAAATTTATTACTATATGATATATTATGTAGTTCTCTATGGTATTGTTTTAGTTTCTCCGATTCTTGTGTACACCTTCACACAGGGGCTGGCAAACTCTGAATTTTGACTTAATTTTCCAATCTTGTGCACTTCTTTACCTGTCTGTATGATAAATTAAATTAATTCAGAAACAATTTTCTTGTCCTTACAGGCTGTGGGACAACCCGTGCAATATAGAAAATTGATTTTGCCACCCCTGGCCTGACTTCAGTGTAAAGAAATATTGATTAAAAAATTTAGCTCTTATGATTGGTACCAGTCCTTTATAAGATTGGTACAATAAGTAATAGAAAGGCCTTGTTCACGAACCAAATTAGTAAATATATATGTATTTCTTTCCATATTAAATTTAATATCTTGATTTTTCATAAATTTACAGAGACCTGTGAGTAACCTACTTGAAATCCCCAGTTTGTTTGAGAATTTATTGATAAAAATGTTTGAGAATTTAGTGTCTTTTCTACCCATTTGTTGATAAATAGATATTTTGGACTTTATTTGCTCAATGGTTTTCTTCAAATTTCACAAAATATAATTTTGGATTTTCAATAAATAAAAAGCTTTTTTTGAAATATCACATGCAAATATTGAGTTAATCAAAATTTTCTTGCCCATGTTATGTTATTTTGATAGAATTTTGTATGAAATCAGAAACTCACATACAATGTACATTTGACTATAAGAAATTTCAAGAACCCTGGCTGACTGCCAACTTTAGATTGAAAAATTGTGTTAAAGAAAAAAAAAGTTGTCATTTAATAATTAGCAAAAGTTCTTCCTTGAGCAAAAAAAATGTCCATCAATTCATCACATGATCCTGATTTTTGTGTGAAATTCTTTGAATATTTTATATTTTGCACTTGTGTGTTTATATGATTGTTAAACAGATTTGTTTTGATACGTTTTGTGTGATTTACTAACATTATATGTGCACAGTTTGCTTTGTAGAAATGATATTTATTCCTTTGCGATTGATGGCTTTAAAGGAAAAGTAAAAGATGTTATCTGGAACTCAGCAAAATGTGGGATTTTCCATGCTAAATGGTTAAACACCACGGTACAAACAATGTTGCGTTTATTTTAGAATTTGTGATAGACTTTCTCAGGAATGACAAATTATTTTATGGTTTTCCCAGCTAATATGGGGGTACAAACGAACCTTTACAGTAAATAAAATAAACGCAACACATACACTTACATATTGATATTGTAAACAGAAGTGCACTGTGAAGCTGTAAGGGTACTTGGTTGTACTTTGGGGGATTGGCTCGGAAAAAAACAAATATTTTATGAGTTTCAGATAACAACTTTGATTGTTTATGCCTCTGCATCAGGAATAACAGTGAAAAATGTAAATATTGTTACTTGAGATGACAAAATTTAACTAAAGTGACAAGTTGATTATACTTTAAGCTTTCACCAACATGATGGTTAATCATGTGACTCAGATTGTATTAAAGGAACTCCACTGAGTTCCAAAGGCCCAAAAACATAAAATTTCAAAATCTTACAAATATGAAGGAAGCGCTTTTAAATGGAAAACTCTGCAAAGGATGACAGAGAAATATACAGTTAACACTCGGTAACTCGAAATCCAAGGGACTTGGCATTTTACTTCGAGAGAAACGGAATTCGAGTAACGTGGATCTGCCACCATTACATGTATATACATGTGTCTGATTAAATGTGCAAAGAAGTAGGTTTGTTATTGTTGATAGCGGCAATGCTGCAATATTTAACATTTGAAATGACAGTAAATGACTTGTAACTACAAATTATAAATGAAAAAAAATATATTATTCAAAATTTAATACATGTATATTAATAGTTAAACACGTAGCAATTGCATAAATGCAGGTTATGTCAGCATTCATCAGTAAAGCACATGTTTTTAATAAGCACTCATGACAATTCATTACAATAAAAGCACAATAACACAATTATTTCAACAACAATTTATCTAATATTTGAAGTGAATTGATCATCAGACGAAAACAAAAGTAGTAACTATGTGTGCAATATGACGGAACATTAATTATACAAATGTTAATAATACAAATGTCATTTGCGTTGAAAACACACACTAAAGTCCTGAAACCGATTAAAGCTACTTTTACGACGTGTTAATAATACATGATGGCAATTAAAATTATTATGAAGCGTGTGAATCACGAGTGACAACATCTCACCTTGATGCCGCTGACCTTTGATCAGTCTGCTGTTTTCACATTTCAACTAATTGAGATGAAAAAATGTTGGACTTTAATTTACGGGACCAAATTTTCTTTCGACTTAACAGGAGTCTCGGTAAGTCAAAATTTGACCTAAGCGGAGTTAATATACAAAGATAAAGAAGGAAATTTGACAGGACTCTAGAAATTCTTCGACTAACGCGGAATTTTGAGTAAAGCGATTTTGACTTATTGAGAGTTAACTGTACTTAAAATAAAATTGAAAACTGTTTTTTGTGAGATTTTGAATGAAAGCATTGCAATGGCTTTTATGCTTTTAATTCATTTTGCAATTAAGAAAATGATTTTTCTGAAAAAACAGGGTGAGGGAATGATCTTAAAATTTGCAAACCAGTTATACTGTTGATGGTCCAGACCTTCATAAACTGGTACGAAAATCTCGGAAAAATGTTTTCAATCTTGTGATAACAAACAGCCTCAGTGGAGTTCCTTTAAGAACTTGCTTTCTAATCAAGCTTGAATGAATATAATTATGTGAACTAAAACTAATTTAATAACAACATAGAAATGAAAAAGAAGAATATACATTAATGAAATTAATTTTGTTAATATACATTTATATATTATAATTGTTTGTTATTTGTAAATGTTCTAAAAATAGATAATACTATACCTTAATACATAATTATCTAATCTTGATCATTGTTTTGTTGTTCCGTTTATATAATACTTCCCATTATTGCAAATTTAATTTGATTATGATGTTGAATATATCTAGGTTGAAAACATAAAATAATTCTATAAAGTTTTTAACACATAATTTGTTCTCTTTATTACAGTATTCAATCATCTACAAGCAAGAAAATGGTAAGAAATATCCTATTTATAAAATTTATAGAAATGTTTTACAAGTAAAATTATACATTTATAATAATTTAAGTCACTTTCTTTTTAGCTTTAAATATTGGGTCTGATTAAAAAAATGTCCCCATGAGGCTGAGGGGTTGCCTTTAAGAGTTGAGGCATCAGCACTGCAGCCACTGTTTATCCCTAGGTGATGATTGTAAGAGGCATTTAAATGGAGTCTATGCATCTCTTAGCTTTAGCAAGTGAGGTGGTTTTGACTTTAAGTCTTTAACACTCAATATAATAGCCAGTTATCGTACCTGTTCCATGACCATATGACCTTAATTGTGTTGTTGCATCATAAAACCAAACCAAATAATAATTATAGTAAATTAATTATTCAGTTATTTATTTTAATATTTTTTCTATTTTTAGCTCATGAGGACAGTATCTGGAGTTGTGCATGGGGAAGAAGTAACAAAGATAACACAGAAAATATCGTCACTGGCAGTATAGATGACAAAGTTAAAATCTGGAAATGGTAATTAACATTAAATATAAAAGAAAAATTTTGTCTCAGAATCGTTGGACTTTGGAACCTTTTATGTAAGTAAGCTCTCCAACTAGCTACCGTATTAACTCGCCTATAAGACGGGGGTAATGGAGAGTCAATGATGCCACTGTGGTACCCATTTATATCTGAAATAAATACATCTAGGAGCCTATGGTAAAACTTGAAAGTTGTCATGATAATTCTACTAAAAAACAAGTATTTAAAATTTATAGTAAGTTGTACATGTAGGTGCCCATTTGGCCTATATGACCAGTCCTTATTTAAGTTATTCAAACTAAACATGAATATACTGATTTTCACTGAACAATTTTGCTGAAAATTTGTATTGAAAGTTGGTGTTCAGTAGAATTCCGAAATATGTGAATGTCTCTGAGAAGGTTATTTAAAATATTAACTTTTTGTATTTCATTTTACTTGTCTGATTTGTTTCAGGGTAGATGAGAAGTTAGAAGTTAGACATGTTCTAGAAGGTCATCAACTTGGTGTGGTGTCTGTGGAAATTAATGCTGAGGGAACTTGTATCTTTTCTCGTTAAAATGACAATGACTTAGGGATAATGGACTCTAGTTGAATCTCGATGTTGGAGTCTTCCAGTTGAATTATTTCTTGGGATATGTAGAGGATATTTAATATTTCATGAGTGGTTTGAAAATAAGTATTTCATGAGTGGCAGAAGCCACCAGTGAAATATGATAATTTTCATACCACAAGATGAAAATAAATCCTGTATTTACAGAAAGAAAAACTTGAATTTTCTGTGTATTATATACATTTTGCTCTTTTTTTTTAACAATTTGAAAGACTTCCCCTAAAACTTTATGTATTGCTGAGTTTAGAAGAAAGTAGTCTGGCAGGATATAAGTGAAAATATGGAAAATATGTTTCACTGCAGTGAAAAATGAATTTTTTACTGTGAAAATGCTGAAATGAAAAAAATGTGCATTCTATTTCATATATATTTCTCAAAATTTTATTTTTATGTATATGATAAATAGGAAATATTACATGAACATGCTACTCTGATTGCTTTTATGGCTCAAGTTGATTGGGTAAAGTTGTAGTCTTGCTCATAGGGCGTGTGGAAACACAACTTTATGCAATAAATGATAGCGTAACTAGAATGTGTATAATAATTTGTATGTCAAAATTTTGTGCTTAACATTAACATTAGGATGACTTAAAAACTCATCAACAACAAAAAATAATGTAAAAAAAACCTTTAACAATTCCCCATGGCGCATCAGCATTTGGGACAGTATGTTAGAGTAGGGGATTTTGAGAAGGAAAATGGCAAAAAATTTTGATGCGGGCCAGGAAAAAATTTTACTGTAATTTCCCCATTTTCCCCATTAAAAAGAAAAAAATTTAATCTACTTTGCAACTCAAATATAATTACTTAAACATAAATTTTTTATAAAATTAGTCTTAAATTTAAAACACTCCCAAAGTAAAAAAAAATTGCTGATTGTTTATCATAAATAAGTTGCAAACTTTTTGCTAGTGCGAACAAAATTGTAATTATTTATTGATACTATTCAAGTATTTTGATTATGCCCCAGGGCATATAGTAATTGAACCGTCCGTCTGTCCATACCAGGTTAACCTAAATTTTGGACTTTTTTCAAGTTCTACCTATACCAATGGCTTCATACTTTAAACATTTAATCAACAAAATGTACATGATCTGGGCAAGTTACATAACTACGACTTTTAATTTTACCAAGTTATTGCCCTTTGCAGCACTTACAAATGAATAATTGGTTAACCTAAAATGGCAAGTTGGATATATCTTAAGTTCTGTCTGTACTAATGGCTTCATAATTACCACACTTACTTATCAATATATAGTACATGATAATGCCAAGTTAACACTTTGTCTTAATCTGTTTCAGTGGATGCTTGGACAGTTGCGTTTTCACCAGATTCCAGGTTCCTGTCATCGGGAAGCCATCATGGTAAAATCAACTTGTTTGGTGTGGATACCGGGAGGAAAGAATCATCATTAGATACGAGAGGAAAATTAACACTTAGTATAGCTTATGTTAGTATATACAACAGTCATCAAATTTAGCAGTGGCCTGATGGGCCAGTGTTAATTTTAAGAAAATGTAGTTAAATATATAGAACTGCAATTTGGGCTAGTAAATTCAAAATCTTAAATTCATTGATTATCTTAAATTCATTGACTGTACAATACCTGATGCACATTTGGTGTAAGTTATGTACCAGTATACATGCTTATAAACATACTGGTTTAATGGCTATACAAGTATCATATTGAAAAAAAACCCAAATAATATCAGGTTCACCAATTGGTTATTTATGTACATGTAGCTTGCCTCTAGTTGAAATATTTTTAAGTACATGTAAGTTGTTCAATAAATCTGAACACCTCGACTATTATTCATAATGATCTCCGACTAAAGACACCTTGAAAGTAGTTCTACCACATGGCTTTAGAAATACAGTAAATTTAGTAAAGAAATACAGAGAGTGTAATCTTTGATAATATACAGTGGAGCCTTGTTAATCCGAACCCTTTTAATCTAGAATCCTTTCTTATCCGAACGAAGTGTCCGGTCCCGATTTTTTATTCGTTCTATTTTCAATAGTAAAACACCTTTCGGATCCGAAACCTGTCTACTCCGAATTCCGGACGATTTTTTTCAATTATTGTTCGTATTCTCTAAAATTTACCTCTTGGATCCGAACAGAATTTGCCAAATGTCAAACCTTCATTCAAAATAACAAAAAATGGCACATCTTGCAGGTGTAAACATACACCAAACTGATAAGTATATTTTCGCTTGATTAATGGGTGACACGTATGATCTGCGAAGGTGTGAAAATTACACTTAGCTTGCCTTGATATTTTCTATAATTGCCTAATTGATTGTTTTTCGTCACCTTCAATAAATATTTTGATATAATGCAATAGAAAAAATATCTTTTAATCCTTTGTAATGGATTTAGTGACATGTGATTAAGTAACGAAAATTAATGGAAACTGTCAGTGAATTCGGATAATTGCTGAATCAGATAAGAGTAAACAACAATTGACAAATGCTTGTACGAATATTTAATCATGTCTCAGCCTCCTGTTTAACATCGTAGGTTAACTTACCCTTGAGGACATAATATTTTTGCTTATTTATTTTATTTCTTTATTTTTGTATTCACATGTATTGAAATGAACGATAAGAGATTCCAAAAAATAAAATATTTAAATTGCAATATCAAATGCATTCCCGTTTTCTTTCTTTAAACTATTTTGCAAATAACATGGAAAAAAACATGTAAAAAAACCTTCTAATCCGGAAACCTTTCTAATCCGGAAACCTTTCTAATCCGAACTTTTCTTCTGGTCCGGACAAGTTCGGGTTAGACAGGTTCCTCTGTATTATGTATATATTTGGCATCTAAAGGAAAATAGTCTATTTTGGTTAAATTATGATTGAAAATATGTCTGACAGTCATAAATATACTCACTGATGTACAATAATTAACAGTAAGAATGTCAACTGGTGCATACTTCGGTTTCTACAATCATAAAAATAAGTATAATAATGTACTATTTACTTTTATATCATTAAGATGAACATTTACATGATATATTGGAGTAAATATAGTCAACAGCTCTACTCATTAGATTACTATTTGAGCCGCCTCATGACAAAACTAACATAGTGGGTTTGCGACCAGCATGGATACAGACCAGCCTGCGCATCAGCGCAGTCTGATCAGGATCTACGCTGTTCCCTTTCAGTTTCTTTACTTGTTGAAGGGTTGGTAAGCGAACAGCATGGATCCTGATCAGACTGTGCGGATGCATTGGCTGGTCTGGATCCATAGTGGTCGCAAACGCATAACGTTGGTTTTTCATGGCGCGGCTCAAAACATCTTCATCATCTTAATCATCCAAGAGGCGGCTGGCATAAATCTGGTGAATTTCGGGTATTTTTAGCAGCTGGGGATAAACAATTTCTTCTTAATGCAAACCCTTCTACATTTAAATTGTATCAACATAGTCATTCAATATTGAATATAGTGATAATTTGATATTTTTTCGTTGATGTTTTTCAGAGTCCCGATGGCAAATACATAGCGTGTGGGGCCATTGATGGTATTGTAAATATATTTGATATCGCCACCGGGAAACTTATACACACTTTAGAAGGTAAAATTTGAAATATTTATTTTAGCCGTAAGTTTACCTGCTGGTACTGAAAATGATCGGCATATGCCACCAGCATTGGTCATCCTGCAGTAATTGGCAGTTTGACCAGGCTGTGTACTGTTGATAGGACATTATTTTTAACTTCACTATTCGATAATAGTAAGTTATTCGATAATAGTAAGTAGAGCTATCTTAGTCACCAGAGCATCGGTGTTACCACTTATGTAACATACCTTAAACCTATCCAGCTAGCTTACAGAACGCCGGAGGTTCTACTCAGGTGCCCGTTCGTGCCTGAAATAATGCACAGAAGGGCACCTGAGGTCTTCCTCCACCAGTAAAGCTGGAACGTCGCGATATGACCTATACTGTGTCGATGTGACATAAAACCCAAACAAACAAACATACCTTAAACACTGGTTTGGAGTTTTAATGCGTAGGAATTGACCACAAAGGCCGTAGAATAAAAGTGTGTTATTAGTGTTGTCTTAAAAAATTGTTAACTATATTATCGAGGGAGAAAAATAACAGCCGCATAAACAAGTAGTCCGTAACCAGTGTTTATTGGCAGTTTTACGCTGTTTTTTTGTGTTTGTTTTTTTCTTCTTTTCTTCTTTTCAAGGAGTGTTAAAATTAAAGATAACACATGAAGAAAGGTTTACATAACTAATGCAAGTATATATTTCTAAGATCTGTTTGTTTATTTCAGGTCATGCGAAGCCTATCCGATCTCTATGTTTCTCACCAGATTCCCAGCTGTTAGTGACAGGCTCTGACGATAACCAAATAAAAATTTATGATGTGTAAGTTTACAAATTTTAATGTTCTTTATATCTGAATATAGTTTTTTACCGCTTCAACTTTTAACTGGGGAAAAAAAATACATTCCATGAGGTGTGATAGGTCCATGTTTATAATTAAAGTCCATATATATATTAATGACAATAATAAAAAGAATGTTTTCATACATACATCTGAATTTAAAGGGCTTAAATGAGAGATTTTGCTGTGTTGGTTTTTGCTCAAATGTGAGTTTTTGTTGTTTTGTTAAAATGAATTGGTCTACAATGGTCACATTTTCCATAGTAGTTCAAAAATTGATAAAAACTATAGAAATGCATCATTTGGATATTCTTATAAAATATTGCTTGAAAAAAAATTGTTGAAGAAGTTCTAAGTTATTTAGTATGAACTTTTATATGATGGATAATAATGTTTTATTCTAGAACAATTGAGCTGTGTTGGTTTTGTCATGACATGGCTCAAGAAATTAGCTGCTATATAAATATATGTTATATGGGATCATGTATCTTATACTTGCCAAAATCATCCATTGATTATTCTTTCATTGTTTGTTATGTGTGATTCTATCAATATAATTATTTATTGTATTACATACTTTATAATTTAAACCAATTCATGTAACAACTCATATATGTGAGCCTTTGTCACTTCGTATTGCTCAAATAAGAGCTTTAGTTGATTTCTTTTAGCTCACTGGTTATCTATTTTGTGTGCAATTATTTTCAGATTACATGCAAATTTAGCAGGAACATTATCTGGACATGCCTCGTGGGTGTTGAGTGTAGCTTTCTCACCTGATAACACACATTTTGTCTCCAGGTATGTAACAAAATGTTTCCCGGAAGTTACGTTTTTCTTTTGAGGAGAAACATCTCTCACTAGGTCATTGAATATTAATTAATATGGATAATTATATAGATTTAGTTTATACAAATTTATTTTAGTTTGATTGTGTTGGATGCTATAAGCTTATTGAAACACTCTCGAATCCGTTCCTTGAACCAACCAGTACTTAGCAATGAATGTAAAGTTTCTTGCTCAAGGAAACAACAGCTTGCCACTGACAGGGTTTTAAACCCATGCGGTCAGCAATCCTTAGATTACTAGTTTCGACATGTTAACCACTCGGCCACGCTGCCATTTCAATTATATTGATTTACAGTAGAACTAAGTGTGTGTCGAACTTCGATTAGTCGATTTTTTTAATGTGTTGAAGTAAAATGAAAATCCTGATTTTTCTTCCTTATATTCTTTATTAAAACCTAATATATATGAGTGGAATTTTTTTTGTGTAGAAATTTTTCCAATTAATGAGTTAAAGTCCTGATGTGTCAAAGCTTTTATGCAAGTGCGTTCAACTTTGACTTACTGAAGTTCTACTGTATTATATTTATATATAAATATTATATTCATGTAGGTAAATTACTAAATTTATTGAACTTGTTGTATGCTCAACAGAGGAATGCATAATAAAATTTTATTCATTGAACTCGTTCAATAAATACGCTCATTCAATATCCTCTATGTCATGTTCTGCTTTGATAAGGCCATTTTGTTATTTTAATTGATGATTTCAAATCAATCTTTGCCAAGGTTACGAGGATCAGAGTTGAAAATTGTAATATGCCTAAAACAGTACTCTGTAACATGTTGTTGATCAGAAATGGGTGTTATAAAATGGCACTTTATCTTTCTCGTTATTTTCAGTTCATCAGATAAAACAGTGAAGATCTGGGACGCTGGTTCCAGACAATGTGTACATACGTTTTATGACCATACTGACCAGGTGAATCACAGTTTTCTTTAAACACTTCTTATTTGATTGTCATAATATGGCTGGGGCATATAGTATTACCCTGTTCCGTCATTCCGTCATCATCAGTTACCATTCATTAAAATTAATAAATTAACAAATTTAACATATGGCTATGTAATAGGAATGCACAGATCAAGTTCGAATTTGGTCATGGTTGGATGATTTTTGACAGAGTTATCTTTCTTGAACTTTGAAAAGAAAAGAGGAAATTTTTCAGTTTCTGTTCATTATCTTGACAACAGTCGCACACATTCAACATTGAACTTTGACATATGTACATTATAGGTATATGCAGGTCAAGTTCGAATTTGGTCATGTTCTGATGATTTTTTGACAGAGTTCTGCCCCTTGAAGAAATTTTCAGTTTTCTGTTCATTATCCTTCCAACAGTTGGCATCAGACTTATAAATCTTTGCAATTTGGTATCTCCAAAACTGCTGAAGAGAATAGGTTGAAACTACACACACTTGTTCTCTGTGTTTATCTAACATATTATATAAACCTATGGTGATGTTTTATATTTTGATTTTTTTTTTTTTTAAATAAGTCATAAGTCAAACCTAGTATTTTTAAATGAAAAATTTCCATATTTCAGGTCTGGGCAGCCAAGTACAATCAAGCTGGTAACAGGATAGTGTCAGTATCTGATGATAGAGCTATGCATATTTATGATATTCCACAGTGAGATTCATCAATAACGTCATATATTTCATTGAACAACTTCGAGTGATTCTGGTGCAAATTTTGACCATCTAAGGACACCATACTATTTATAATATTCAACAGGGAGAATACACTGCAATATGAAAGACTTCATTCAACAACCTAGAGAGATCCTGGTGCAAATTTTGACCATCTTAGGACACCATACTATTTATTATGATATTCAACAGTGAGATACACTTCAACATGAAAGACTTCATTTATTAACTTACACAGACTGGTGAAATTTGGTCATCCTAGGACACCGTAGTTTCCTACAATGAGATACCTGTTATGGCATTTAAGTCTTCATTTAACAAGCTAGAGAGGCCCTGGTGCAACTTAGTACACCATACATTTTATGTTATTCAAACGTGGGTCACACTTTAATAGTAAAGTCTTCATTTATTGACCTCAAGTAATCCTGGTGCATATTTGACCATCCTTGGACACCATAGTGTTTCTGATACACCTAAACAAGGAGCTCTTTTCTTCAATAACCCTCGGTGACAATGGTACAAAGTTGACCAACTTAGGACACCATACTATTCCAAAGGCGAATCTCTGTGACATAAAAATACTTCAGTGAGAGACTTTGATACAAATTTGACCATTTTATGACACTTTTATGATATTCCATACTGACTGAGAGCTTTTATTACATGAAAGACTTTAATTCTGAAACACCCTATAGACCTGTAGGTACAAATTTAACCATTTCAAAAGGAATACTTTTTATGACACCATTATAGTGCTTTAGTTATTGCAATATATTTTTTACTAAGCGTGACAGAAATATGTGTCACCACCTTGTGTTGTTATTTGTTGCCTGATATTTATTTTTCAAAGACTTCTTTTCTAAGTGACAGCTGACTTTTTTACTCCATTTTTGAGAACTATCAATAGCATAGAAAACTATTTATAGCATTGAAAACTATAGCATTGAAAACTAATTTATTTATACAGGGCTGCCGATTTTCCGTGGAAATCCGCGGATTTCGTGAGCTGGGTCATTTTTGAGATCGATGTAAATTCGACAAAGACAATAAATTCATTCGTCATATTTTATACAGTACCCAAAAACCGGCACGCTTCGGCTTTTAGCGTTACGCTAGCCGCCTATGGTACGTCTGTAAGCGCTTTTCTCATTGGTCATATCGAGTCTTTTCCGGCATTCTATTTTAGCATAACCAATCAAATTACAGTTTACATTGTCGCTCTTGTCTGTTGTCAAAATGTCGGATATTTGTCAAATTTAGAGTCCAGGAAATTGATTTTAGGGCATACCAAATCATCAGAATCCAGGAGCTTTCGGGGGCTTTGCCCCCTGAACCCCCACCAGGGCTCTGCCCTGGACCTGCAAAGGGGGCTTGCGCAGACCCCTTGACCCCCGGCGTATTTTTCGCTGTTTTTGAAATTTGCTGTTGGCAGCCCTGTTTATAGCATTGAAAACTATTTATAGCAATATCAAATCCAGATAAATTTTTCATAAATAAATGCAAGTAAAATTGTCCATTAAAATTAAATCTGGCAATAATTCTTTAAGTTTGACAAAGATTGATAACATAAAATGTTATTTTATTAGAAAATCTATGAAATTGGTGCTAGACTAGAATTTTTGTTAAGACTTATATGTAAAGACAAATGGCAGTTTGGTTTTTTCCATACGTTACACCATTGAAAACATTTCGTAGCAGAATGATAAATCAGATCTGGACATTAAAACAAATCTAGATTCAATGTTAATTTATCTAAAATTGCAATGTTTTGCCCTTTAAATAAATTTTGCTGTATAATAATAAGTAGCAAGAGAAAGTATACATAAACAACAAAAAATGTCATTTTAATAGAAGTTCTGTGATAACATTTCATTGTATATAAATCATCTTTTTATAATAAAAAGAAAAAGCAAAATAATGTGTTTTCTTTCATTTTGATAATTTGATATAGTTAAAATAGTTAATCTGTTGATTAGTGTTTATTTTTGATGAAAACATAAAAAATTGTTCTATGACTCCATATAAATGAAATTAATAGGCTGCTTCACTTTTGGGAAAAAATAAGTGGAGGTTTAAACATAGCCCACTTATAGGTTTTGGTTAAGTTTTCATTTAATGGTTGTTAATTCCAATACTTTTATTGAAACATTATTTCTTCATAAACTTTGAGAAGTTCCACTTGCCTCACCAATTTTCTAGGCAAAAAGATCAAGGCCATTGCTAATAAGAAATACAAAACAAACAAGTGTTCATTTAAACATAGTGCAATGACCTATAATTGTAATAAACTTTGTACAATGTATGTAGATGAATCTTGGTGTCAATGTCACTGGGACTTGTTATTTCGAAACTTAAAAGTGGCCATAATATTAATGTAACTTGAAATTTTGAAAATTTATAGCAACTTGACACTTTTCTTATTGATGCACCTTCAGTTCAGCCTGTCAGCTTAATTTCAAGTCAAGAGGTCATCGGAATTTGTGATTCAACTTTCTCAGAAACTATCAAAGCTATATATTTCAAACTTGATAAACTTGTCCATAACCATATCACAAGGTCAGATAATTCTGGAATTATACTCGGCGAAGTTACACCCCTTTATTTATTTTTTTTTGCAAGATAAGAGTTTCTAAAACCCATAACTCTACTGAAATATTGCATAGATGGGAACCTGCAGCTTGTTAGCTTCCATATTTGGAACTAACCATTTATGGAATGTTTGGATGAAAATGAGGCTATGAGTCTAATTACTGTTCCAGCTTCCAGCATGGTAAGGGTTAATACCAAGCAAGGTTAATCAATTTTCTGACTAAATAAAAACCTACCAAAGTTTGTTACAGCAACGTAGATCTTTCAACTTGAAGCTTTATATGTTGTAGTAACATTCATAGCCAATGCATTGTTTTTGGGCAGGCTGTCAACGGCAGAATGTTTTAACAGTTTACCAGCACAAAATGCCTTCACTTTTGTATGAAACGGTTATTACTTCTCTGCATGCAAGAACAGAGGTACAGTGCTTATGACAGTAAAAAGGATTTCATGATCAATCATAACGAAAGTGATCTGCACTGCCCCAGAATTGAACCCAGATCTACAGATTTAAGTCCAATGCTCTAAAAATTGAGCTAACCAAATGGTAGTTGATGCTCTTATTATGTGTTTCTTCTCATAACTGTAGGCATAATAATTTGACAATTAACCTTATGATCATTTTCATATTTTGTCAATATTATACATGTAAATTGAATATTATGAGCCCAAAAATGGCTACCAATGTAAAAATGTTAAAATCTGAAATTCTCATTGGCTGGTGGAGGCAAGACTTAAGAAGTTTCAATCGCCAATTTTAAAAAAAAAAAAATTTAAAGTATGCTGAAAATCATAAATCTGAACCAATATTTCAGTACTTCATTTATTTTTTACAAAATCATAATAAAATTACGATACATACATAAATATAGATCTAAGATCTTGGAAAAATGGCCGATACACAAACATATACATACGCTTTTGAATTAAATTCGAACAAAAAAAGTATACAACAATAAAAGAAAGTCATGATTGTTTACATATAATTATGTTCTTATGTTTATGTACAAGCTGTACAAAAATTTGGAATGTTGCAATCCCTATGTTAAAATGATGACTGTATAACAATAAACAAGAAGAGACAGGAATACAAGACCCTTAATCACACGACTAATTCATGGTGAACATGTATTGAAGAATGTGGATATTCCAGTGCCTTTCTAACATCTATTCTAAAACAAATTGTCAGAATTTCATTACAATTAGGCCTTTTTGTCAGAATAATGAATATTCTGATAGAGGTAAATGCGCTGCCAAAGGCGTAATTCTGACATAACAATGCAAAAGGTCTAATTTTAATAACATTCTGACAAAACGGCGTTAAAAGGGATGTAAATAAATAACAAATAAGATACTGGAGTATTCACCTTCTTCAATGAATGTTTACCATGAACCATCTGCTCTGACACAATATCCATCGCTTGATACAACATCCTCCAGTACTAATTCAATAATCTTCCCTTCTGATATCGTAACCGAAGTTCTGATACATAAACTTTCAATTTTGATACACTAACCTTAAGTTCTGATACATTAACCTTTAGTTCTGGTACACTATTCATAATTTCTGATATACTTGCCTTAAATTCTGATACACTAACCTTGAGTTCTGATACACTAACCTTGAGTTCTGATACACTAACCATAATTTCTGATACACTAACCTAAAATTCTGATACACTAACCTTAAATTCTGATACACTAACTTTCAGTTCTGATACACTAACTTTCAGTTCTGATACACTAACCATAATTTCTGATACACTAACCTAAAATTCTGATACACTAACCTTAAATTCTGATACACTAACTTTCAGTTCTGATACACTAACTTTCAGTTCTGATACACTAACCATAATTTCTGATACACTTACCTTTAGTTCTAATACATTAATCTTAAGTTCCGATACACTAACCTTAAATTCTGATACACTAACTATAAGTTCTGATACACTAACCTTTAGTTGTGATACACTAACCTAAGTTCTTATACATTAACCTTTAGTTCTGATACACTAACCTTTAGTTCTGATACACTAACCTTAAATTCTGATACACTACCTATAAGTTCTGATTCAATAACTTTCAGTTACATTAACCTATAGTTCTGATACATTAACCTTAATTTCTGATACATTAACCTTTAGTTCTGATACACTAACCTTAATTTCTGATACATTAACCTTTAGTTCTGATACACTAACCATAATTTCTGATACACTTACCTTAAATGCTGATACACTAACCTTAAGTTCTGATACACTAACTTTCAGTTCTGATACACTAACCTTGAGTTCTGATACACTTACCATAATTTCTGATACATTAACCTTAAATTCTGATACACTAACCTTAAATTCTTAAACACTTACTTTCAGTTCTGATACACTAACTTTCAGTTATAATCATTCACTTCTGATTCAATAATCACTTACTTTTAATTCTTATACAAAATTCTTCAGATCTAATAGCACTAATATTCTGATTCAATAATCTGCCGTTATGATACAACTTAACTTACAGTTCTGATACATTGACCATTAGTTCTGATACACAAACTTTCTGCTCTGGTAAACTAAAATTTAGTTTTGTTACACGAATCTTCAGTACTTTTCTGATACTCTTACCTTCATATATGATGAGCTAAAAATGTTTGAACCTTAAAATCATATCACAGAGAAAAAGTGCAAAAAAGCAATGAAATTATCATAAATAATAAATATATATCAAAAACAACATTTGCAGAAAGCGATGCCTAAAGTAAGTAATAGAGGTGCCCATGCACAGGAATAAATCGTCTGATATGTAATGGTTTCTTCACTAATAAACATTGGAAAGTAAAAACAAATTGGTCCCCCCCCCCCCAATTCGCCAAATCTTTTCTCCAGATCTTAATATAGCTCCAAATGTACATTTATTTAGTCATAAACTCAAGTTTTATTCATGAAGTGACCCTGTCTTTTCTCTAGATGCTCTGTATCTACAAAATCCATATTCATGTAATGTAATTCGTAACATTTCGACCGGACTATTCCGGTTATGGTCGAAGTATACCCACAAAATGGATTCAGTCGATAATTAAACTTTTTAAACCCTATTGCCTCCAATGCTTTCAATATTTCAAACTTTTCGATAAATTCGGTTTTCTTGATCGTTCGGTCCGTTTTCTTAGTAATCGGTACAGGCAGAAGGTGAATTTCGAAGGCGAGTTGTTTAACGTATTGTAGGATATTGTCCTTCGTTAGACTTTTGATCACTTCCCATTCCCAATAGTCGATGTCGAATTTCACATAGTCTATCACAGTCTGCAATGAAATACATACATGCTTCAGAGATAAAGTAACTAACATGGATCAAAATATCAAATTTTTTAAGAATGACTTACACCTTTAACTCCCGAAAAAAACTAGAAACATTCCATCTGTACTATATTATTTGCCTTATCAGGCGTCGATGAATTTTTCTAGGGCCACTCGCCCTGCTGGGCAAGTTTGATCAAACTTTCTAGCCCGACACAAACTTTTACTCGCAAATGCAATCAGGGAGTGGATTTGTCGAGGCCTGCTTATCAACAAAATTGTCTTCCATCGGATATAATGTTAATTTCCTTTTAAATATGTCCCAGGCTTGTCCCCTTTCACATACAAATATTGTTTCCCCCTACATATATAAAAGACGTCTCCCTTCAAGAGTTGTCCTCCATCAACTATACATTAGTATTATCTTCCTTCAAATATACTTAATGAGTTGTTTATCTTTTAAATGTACAAAAGAAAATCTGAACTTTAGTAAGAGTAACCTACCATCAATTTTACAAAAGAGTGACCTCCCCTCAAATATAAATTAATTCCCATAAAATCTACAAAATAATTCATAAAATCTACAAAATAAGACTTCTCCCTCAAATATACAAAGAAAATTAAAATTGTTACCTTCAGATGACCTTCATCCTTTAAATGCTGACGGAAGCTTTTCATTGGCCAGCCTTTAGACCAATGATCAGTGACTGCTCCTAACCCATATGGTTTAAAGTGTATCAAATCAGTTCTGTTATGTGCCTTTTTCCCTATACTGAAAAAGGAAATAAAAATTTGAAAAATGAAACAAATATATGACACTTTTATCTTCCATCTAATCCTGGGGTTATTAAAAAATAATGCTGTACCAAGAATGTGTATTTTTTATACATAATGGCAGCATAACATATCAAATAATTACTTTTTCTGTTGTGCAATATTACAATGCCTATGAACTATTCTAAAATAGGTAGACATAACTTGAACTTATTATAAATTTATTGCTTAGTGCTGGTTGGTTCCAGGAAAGGATTCTCGAATGCTTCAATCAAACTAAGATAAATTAGTATAAACTAAACAAACTGGAACTCCTCTTTAACATGTTTAACAATTTAGGCCCATTCCAAATTATTATAAATATAATATATACATACAATATGTACATGTATATGTAATAATGCATGTAAGACTGGGAACATTTACAAATTTGTGCACATGATGAAACTTATTATACATGCTTATCTTGACAAGGGGCAATTGTAAGACAAGGGACATAAATCTGAAACTTATATTTTGTTATGTCCCTTTTAACATGAATTGTTATCCAAACTTTACATTTACGGATGAGCATTAATCATGCATGCCATACTCTTGTGTACCGATTTGTATATTTACAAATCTATACAACTGACCCTTCAAAATATTTAACTAACACAGCAATCAGTCTAGTTAGCCTAAAGACTATTTGACAATTTTGGAAAACTTTCTTAGATAACTTAGTTTTCCAGTAAAGCTGTTTTAGTGGATTTACTGCCAGATAAGACCAAAAACATATTAAAATCGGCGTGAAAAAACAAACAAACTTTTGCAAGCATTTTGACGAGAATATACAAAAGTTACCTTACCTTGGATCATAGGCGAGAACTTTACACTTATAAAAGTCATAAACATCATCTTCAAACCGCCAGTCTTGTCCTATCCTGAAATTTAAATTCTATTTATTATACATGCCTTTTTTTGGTTGGGTTTAACATCGCATCAACACAGTATAGATCATATAACGACTTTCCAACTTTACGGGTGGAGGAAGACCTCAGGCGCACCTTCGTGCATTATTTCAGGCACAACGGACACCTGAGTAGAACTGCTAGCTAGCTAGCTGGATAGCTTTCTCAGTATATGACTTGCTCCATGGAATAACTGAATGTAATGAACAGCAAAAGAAACTAGAACTGCCACTGTCATGGCGTGAATACCCCCGCATACCACTTTTTCAGAATCAACAGTGGCCATTTAAAGCTCAAGGACAACCTCCCTGCCAAATCTGAGGTTACTGAGCCAGTGCATTGCTAAGTTTTGTATTCTAAATGCTTCAAATGTGAAAATGTCAAAATCAATACACTGCGGACAGGTATTCTTAAGCATTTGAGCTGACAAGCTTATCATAGTAAAAAATCCCTGTGACCTTGACCTTTGACACAGTCACCTTAAAATCAATAGGGATCATCTACTAGTCATAACTAACCTCCATGCCAAAATATGAAGACTGTTGACCAAAGCATTCTTAATCTATTGAGCGGAAAAGCTTTTTTAGTCAAGGCCCCTGTGACCTTGACCTTTGACCAAGTGAACTCAAAATCAATAGGGGTCACCTACTAATCATGACTAACCTCCATGCCAAATATGAAGACTGTGGGTAAAAGGAATCTCAAGTTATTGGGCGGACAAGCTTTTTTTGGTCAAGGCTCCTGTGACCTTGACCTTAGACCTGCTGACCTCAAAATCAATAGGAGTCATCTACTAATCATTACTAACCTCCATGCCAAATATGAAGACTGTGAGTCAAAGGAATCTCAAGTTATTGGGCGGACAAGCTTTTTTTGGTCAAGGCCCCTGTGACCTTGACCTTTGACCCAGTGACCTCAAAATCAATAGGGGTCATCTACTAATCATGACTAACCTCCATGCCAAATATGATGACAGTTGGTCTAAGAAATCTCAAGTTATTCGGTGGTCAAGCTTTTTTTGGTCAAGGCCCCTGTGACCTTGATCTTTGACCCAGTGACCTCAAAATCAATAGGGGTCATCTACTAATCATGACTAACTGCCATGCCAAATATGAAAACTGTGGGTCAAAGGAATCTCAAGTTATTGGGCGGACAAGCTTTTTTTGGTCAAGGCTCCTGTGACCTTGACCTTTGACCTGGTGACCTCAAAATCAAAAGGGGTCATGTACTAATCATGACTAACCTCCATGCCAAATATAAAGACTGTGAGTCAAAGAAATCTCAAGTTATTGGGCGGACAAGCTTTTTTTGGTCAAGGCCCCTGTGACCTTGACCTTTGACCCAGTGACCTCAAAATCAAAAGGAGTCATCTACTAATCATTACTAACCTCCATGCCAAATATAAAGACTGTGAGTCAAAGAAATCTCAAGTTATTGGGCGGACAAGCTTTTTAGCTTTTTTTGGTCAAGGCCCCTGTGACCTTGACCTTTGACCCAGTGACCTCAAAATCAATAGGAGTCATCTACTAATCATGACTAACCTCCATGCCAAATATGATGACTGTTGGTCTAAGGAATCTCAAGTTATTGGGTGGACAAGCTTTTTTTGGTCAAGGCCCCTGTGACCTTGATCTTTGACCCAGTGACCTCAAAATCAATAGGGGTCATCTACTAATCATGACTAACCTCCATGCCAAATATGAAGACTGTGGGTCAAAGGAATTTCAAGTTATTGGGCGGACAAGCTTTTCAAAGTCAAGGCCCCTGTGACCTTGACCTTTGACCTGGTGACCTCAAAATCAGTAGGGGTCATCTTCTAACCATGACTAACCTCCATGCAAAATATGAAGACTGCGGGTCAAAGGAATCTTAAGTTATTGGGCGGACAAGAAAAAACCAACGGACTGCCGGACAGGGAGACCTGTCCAGACGGACAAGCTGATTCTAGTATACCCCCCTTACAACTTCTTTGTGCGGTGGTATAACTATCTTTACATTTGTTCATGCCCCTAATGCAGGGTTCTCATTAACAGCAGGGCACAGGCCAAAATGACTGGATGAGATCATCATTTGGTCTGTTGAAATTCTATAAGATCTACAGTTTTCTTACTTTTATGCAGAAAATTGCTGTTTGAATTACACAAAAGGCCTTCTGTAATTTGCTTTTTGGCTGCTGATGAAAAATTTATTGATAACCCTGCTATAATGATTGCACTGTCAGTTATTCACTTAGAAGGAATATACATACTTATAAAATTACTTTCATACAGGTATTTTGAAGGTAGACTTTTCTATATTGGACAAACTTGAAACATGTGACCCTTACTGAAAGTGTAATGAAAAAACAGATAATACACTTTAATTATTATGTTACCCAAAAGAGTAGACAAGGCAGGGTTTCTTCAGTTTGAAAGGTGGTGACATACACACATTCCATCCTCCATCATGTTGTGTACCAAGTCGCACATCATTACCACATATCACATCCTTCTTCTCCAGATATCTGAAACAAACATGGTAAAAGTTCATGGTGTTTTTTTTTTACTTGATATTATCATACACTAACACAGTATGCTTTGGTCAGATGATGACTTTCTAGCTTTACTGTTGGAGGAAGACTTCTTATGCCTCTCTATGCATAATTTCAGGCCTAAATGGACAACCAGAGTAGACCCTGTTACCATTCCATAAGCTAACTATATAGCTTCCTCGTATGAAAGAATTGAAAATGCTTGCGAAGCTTGAACCTACAGTGGTAAGAGGCAAGTGGCAACCACTCAGCAACAGATGCCCCATGCTTTTTTTTCCTTCAGGCTTAAGGTTTATTTTCCTTCTCAACCATTAGCCTGCTTTGGGCTACAGAACCCTACCAAGTGCAAACCAAGATAAGCCAGCACAGCCATGCCAAATGATCTGTACTGATCACTATGTAGTTATTACATTTCTTTAATGTTCCCTAAATAATGAATGGTAAATGATCTTGTCCTTATTACAAATGGACAAGTCTATTCATTTTAATGTTATACCCGGAAAAAAACCAGATAACCCAAACCTATTTCCAAAAGGCAAAAAGGTGGGCCAAAATTTCCCCAAAATATTTTAAAAATTTTTGGACATCATTTTTTACAAAAACTGCTTTTTTCCTAATTTTTTTGGCTCAAAAAAAAGAAACACCAAAAAAGTGGTGTTAACGCCTTATCTCCTTTCAAATTTTTCCCGGTTTTAAAAAAAAGGACCCCCAAACTTTTCAAAAAAATACTGCATTTTGAAAATACCCCCTTAAAAATAATAAATTTTCACAAAATGTCAATTTTATAAATTTAAGTTTAAAAAATTTCCCCAAAAGGTTTTTATTTTTTGAAAGATTTTGAAATTTTGGAAAAAAAAAAAGGGGGGAAAATTTTTTTGCCCTGAACAATACCAACGACGCAAGCCACAGCAATCATAATACCCCTCTAAACTTTTTTTCTTTTGAAAAACAAACAAGCTTTAAAAATAAACCTTTGGAACAAATAAACATTGGCTACCTGAAGAATATTTCCTCTCAATATCAGAAATTTCTACTATATCAGGATAACAAAAAGTCTGGTTTTAGAATTATCTCCCCATAATTTATCAGTGTCAAGCCAACATCATTTTCGCTGTTTTTCTTCTGAAATGTATAAACATATTTAAGTTCAAACCCTTTATACAAGATGGTTTTTTACGATTACTCACAATATATAAAACAGTTTGCAAAGGTGGAAAATAAATCATTTCCTCTATCATTTAACTTTAATTATTTATTATATTTAACTTCTTGCATAAAAAGTATAGGTTTTCATGTATACAGTCAGAAAACCAAAATCCTAAAAATAATTCCTGTATTTCTTAGAAATTTGCCTTTCAACATGCTAAACAATAAAACTTAATTTCCAAATCATTTTGGGAAGACATCAACCTCCTGTCTGTTGTTCTGGCATGGTTGAATTTGAAAACTAGAACTACTAAAATTCCATAAACAGTTTGGATAGCTCCTTGTAGAAAGGCATTTTAAGTCCCTGCAGAGACTCAAACCGTCTGAGTGAGCATCCATGGGCAAGTGATCTGAATTGAAGTACTTTGGCACATCTACTCTTAGTCCAAAATCTAAGGTTGGGTATAGTTTCTGGTGGGGTCATCAACTCAAATGTCAAAATCTTAACAGCTTCTTTTATTTTTTAACCTTAAGCCTATTAATGTGAAAATCTTGTGTCATATTTTAGATATGTTTGCTGTCTGTTTGCTGCCTACAAGCACTTAGCAATCATTAATTTCAGATAATCAATATTGAATAGAATCTAGTTTAGCTGACCCCAGAACTAAATAAGTGTGCCAGTATTTTTGTTACTATATATTATATACTTTTTATATTCTGTTTCGACTATCTCCTGGATTAGACCCTGCAGCATTTTTCAAGATATAATTTCTTGATAAAATAAGAAAACCTTATACATAGTCCTGGTTTAGACATGCAAGCCTTAACCATGTTCTAGTTGCTATGCTACTAGAAGAATCATGAATATAATGTGACACCCTCTCCCAAACATCGCCCCATGGGCATCCCCTGTAATAGGTAATATTTAGGTTATTCACAGCAACTTTGGACTATTATAAATTCTCCTTTCCTTGGATTGTACTGTATACCATTGGAACCACCTACCCCCTGCAGTTGCCCTACTCCCTACAGTACTCCAGAGAAGTCATAGATGTCCTTGAACATATGACTCATTCTAGTTTTCCAGTCCCCTGTTTTTACATTCTGAATAATAATATTCTTCTCTTAAACAACTCCTTCACTTTCTTACCATTTTGAAGGTCATACCTCTACATCCCTGGGGAGTGGTCTAGGGATTATTGGGAAAATAAAATATGGATAAAAATCAAAAAAATTTTTACCCAGATATTTTTTCTTCCTGGATTTAAAAAATATAAACTACATGGGTTTTCAAAAAATTTGAACAGAATTTACTTTTTTACTATTTTGTCTAAATGCCAAAGAAGAACCCCTGCCCACATTTTTTCATAATTTAAAAACTGATTTTCTTTCCTGGGGAAAAAGCCCAAAAAACAAAATGGATTTTCGTAGTTTTTGTTCGTTCCCAAAAACAGTTTCAAAAAAAAATGGGAACATTTCTGAAAAATCTTTCCCCTTCCCCATTTCTCCAATAAACAACGTCTGCAGGAAAAAAAAAATGACAATCACCCAAAACCCGCTAAATTGGGTGTGCTTTGAGGTGGTTTTTTGCCCCATTTTCATTTTATTTTAAAAGGGAAACTATTAAAAAACTAGAAAAAAATTTTAAAAAATTTTTAAATTTCCCCAAAACAAAAAATTTTTAGTGGTTTATAAAATTTTAAAACACAACCCTGCAAATTTAAATGAGAAGCTATATATTTGCGGTTTCGGGTACCCCCTCCCCAAAAAAGGTAACTTTTATCTTAATTTTTTTGTTTTTATAACATGCTAAATTAACGCAAATTTAAAACATTAAAACAAAAAAACCCCTGTACAAAAAATTTAAAAGGGTCGGTCCAAAAAATTATAGATGTGTGGGGTTTTTGAAAAAATAAAAATTTTACGAAATAAATTTGATCTATTTTAATTAAAAAAATTGCATTTGCCCAATTTTTATTTAAATTTCCCCCCAGGGAAAGAACCCCCAAAAACTTTATTTTTAGCTTTTTTTTAAAGTTTTCTAAATAAAAAAATATAAACATACTTTAAATTTAAAGTTTTTTTTGTAAATTTTTCTAAATTGTGTGTATTCTTAAAAAACTCGACTGGGGGAAACACAAGTTAAAAACTTTAAAAATTTTAATTTCTTTTCAAATATTCCAAACTGGTGCCCTTATAACCCCGAAAAAAAAGCAAAAAAAAAAATTTTAAAATTTTTAAATCAGAAATAAATTTTAAAATCGTATGATTTTTTCTGTTTTAGCCCAAATTTTAGGGGAAACGGGGCATATACGTTCGTTTAAAAATTTTTTCCCCAAAACCCTTTTTATTTTTAAAATCCTTTTTTTCCCCAATTTTGAAAAACTAGTACAATGTAGTTTTTTTTTTGGGAAAAAGGGGAGAGCGAAATTTTTAAATTTTTGGGATAAATGTTTTTGGTTTTTAAAACCTTTCTCAAATGGAACATCAGTCTAGAAAAATTATTTCCTTTCCCGCCAATAATTTCTTAATGCTGTAAGGATGGAATGATCGGGTATTTAAAAAAAGTGTATAATTTACATCGGAAAAAATAGTACTCCGCATTACACTTTGGCGTCTTGGGTAGGACGTATTCGTTCGGAATGATACGCCTGCCTGCTATCACACTTGGTAGGCCTATATATATACATGTAGCAAAATCAGCATGTTAATTTTTTACAACAGTCATACGCGCCATGTTATTTAAGTAACGCAGATCCCAATATAGTTTTGTGATAAAATGACGTACATGACGTCCTAATTCATGAATTAATATGATTGGACGGCGCAGTTATTGTCTGTGACGTAACAAACAGAACATAGTAACCGCAAAATGTGGCACACATACAATAAAAAACGAATTTAGTTAGAAAATGGAAGGAAAACGATTGGGTGAAATCCCACGTGCTGATAAAAGCACATTTAAAGGTATTTATATTGGCTTGTTATATAATTTTTTTCGACTAGTTGTAAATAAGTACATGTATATGTATATAATTATGTATCAAATTGTATGGATCCATTCATTTGTTCTTTGAATACCCCGTTCAGTCGTTCTTTTTTACTTTGAATTTCATGCAGTTACTTGTTACATATGTCGTCTCATGTGTAGTCCCGCCTGTCGTTGTATGTATAGGCCCGTACTCTGTTGTTTTATGTTATGTTAAATTCCATCTGCCATTATATGTCAAATCTCTGCCATTGCATGTATAGGTCCACTTGTCATTTTATGTCATTGTATGTCGAATTCCGTCTGTCGTTGTATGTCGAATTCCGTCTGTCGTTGTATGTAAAGTCCCGTCTGTCGTTGTATGTATAGTCCCGTCTGTCGATCATTGTATGTCAAGTTCTGTCTGTCATTGTATGTCAAATTCCGTCTGTTCTTGTATGTATAGTCTCGTCTGTCATTGTATGCCAAGTCCCGTCTGTCATTGTATGTCAAGTCCCGTTTGCGTTGTATGTCAAGTCCCGTCTGTCGTTGTATGTCAAGCCCCATCTGTCGTTGTATGTCGTTGCATGTCAAGTCCCGTCTGTCGTTGTATGTCAAGTCCCGTCTGTCGTTTCAAGTCCCGTCTGTCGTTGTATGTCAAGTCCCGTCTGTTCTTGTATGTCAAGTACCGTCTGTCATTGTATGTCAAGTACCGTCTGTCGTTGTATGTCAAGTTCCGTCTATCGTTGTATGTCAAGTTCTGTCTGTCGTTGACATGTATGTCAAGTTCCCTCTGTCGTTGTATGTCAAGTCCCGTCTGTCATTGTATGTCAAGTTCTGTCTAACGTTGTATGTCAAGTTCCGTCTGTCATTGTATGTCAAGTTCCGTCTGTCGTTGTATGTATAGTCCCGTCTGTCGTTGTATGTATAGTTCCGTCTGTCGTTGTATGTCAAGTTCCGTCTCCCATTGTATGTCAAGTCCCGTCTGTCGTTGTATGTATAGTCCCGTCTGTCGTTGTATGTGTAGTTTCGTCTGTCGTTGTATGTATAGTCCCGTCTGTCGTTGTATGTATAGTTCCGACTGTCGTTGTATGTTAAGCCCTATCTGTCGGTGTATGTATAGGCCCGTCTGTCATTGTATGTCAAGTCCCGTCTGTCGTTGTATTTGTAGTCCCGTCTGTCGTTGTATGTCAAGACCCGTCTGTCGTTGTATGTGTAGACCCGTCTGTCGTTGTATGTCAAGTTCCGTGTGTCGTTGTATTTATAGAACCGTTTGTCATTGTATATGTAATCTTTAATGGTATGTGTAGTCCGTTCTGTCTTTGTGTGTATATGCTCATCTGTAGTTGTGACTGTGCACTGTCTTTAATGCTTAGTATAGTTCGTATATGTTGCCCTGTCTGTAATTGTCTGTCTAGTCCCGTCAGTCTGTAATTGTCTATTGCGTTTTTTGTGTGGAGTAGCGGGGGATCGAACTTGCGACCCCTTGATCTGTAAGCAAACAGTGTTACCACTGCACCACAGCGCCCGCTCTGATTAATAACATTTTGGAAATGCCTATATACATTATCGCATTAATAGCCAACAAAGGTTGGTAATTTAATTTTAACACCTTTATCATGGTAGCCATCCCACGTGACTTTTGGAGCGAAAAACAACATTTTCACTCGATCTAGGTTAGATATCGATAACTTTTATTGAAAGACCCTGTCTGATGATATAGCGCAGGAATAATAATTTTGATCATAATGAGAGAGTCTATTAATCTCTTTAAATGTTTTCTGAAACGAGATTTAGTTTCGGAAATTGTACGAGCTACTGCGATATCGTAATTACGTGTACAAAAAAGTTCAAACTTTCAGAGCATTTCGGGTAATAAAACGTTAAATTCCCCATGCGAAACTTGTTTTGGATATAACATGTACAGTTGTAGCGATTTCGAGACTGCAAATTAGATCAAAGTGCTGAAAGCACTTAATGCTACGGCTTAACTTAAGCCTTAGAGTAGCATATTTTTATTATTTTACAATATGGCAATACGTGTCATGTAGTACATCTCTGCAGGAATATAATTTAAAAATAGATATAAACATAAGAATATCTTATACCGAGAAGTGAGAAAATTGTAATAATATCAAAACACTGAAGTACCCGTGACAATAAGCTTACCAGTATTTTCTCATTTTGATGTGAAGTATATTGCATATTCACCGACAAACATTTTTTTCTTCCGTTTAATGGACCTTTCTGGTGTTTACGGTTTTATGTAAATTGGCTTACTTGTTATCCAATCGTTACACTGATATAATACATAGTCACTTGTTGACCTGGTTTGCACAAAAGAACACGTGCTTATGTTTGTGATACTATTTGTGAACAGTTGACCTAGCAATGAATGGAAAAGGTGTGGCTAAATGTTCCGCTACGAAAAACCGGAAAGGTCCATATATGCCTTATAAGTGTAACGAAACTAGAAAAAATGTAAAAAGCAATTCAGGAAAAAAATAGCCAAAGAATGATATAAAACACTTTACTGACACTATTACCAATCTAACTGAACACTTTAATTCTGAAGAGCATTCTATTTAAGATTTGTCATTTTTGCCCATTGATAAAGTGAAGAAAATTTGAAAAAGATTATTTAAAGAAACTCCATGGGCGTATTAGCTTAACAAGTGCATTTAATCCTGATGACATGCATTCTAAAATGCTTTACTAATTTTGTACACTACATTTTTTTATTTTAAAACTAATTTCATGTCAAATGTAGTTTATGCTGGTGTTCCATTTTTACTGTTCTTTAATATTTGAGCCGCGTCACGACAAAACCACCGTAATGCGTTTGCGACCAGCATGGATCCAGACCAGCCTGCGCATCCGCGCAGTCTGATCAGGATTCATGCTGTTCGCTATCAGTTTCTCTACTTGTAATAGGGTTTGAAAGCGAACAGCATGGACCCTGATCAGACTGTTGGTTTTGTCATGACGCGGCTCATTTATCGATTGTTTCCATCGAAGCGTATGGAGCAAACGCCCGTAGCACGCGCGTTCAATGGCTACGCGTTCGATGCGCATGCAAAAGTAATTCAAGTTTATAATCATCATTGTGGGGTAATATTTAACTACTATAGTGGAGTAATAATATTTGAATTCAGAATATGCCATAAAGAACAAAACGCAACATCTTCCTAAATATCTCCTTTTCCACGGGGGAGGAAGTGTTACACGAGGGATGGAGTTCTTATGATAACTTGTCAAGGAGTTCTTGTGATAACTGTCACGGAGTTCGTCGGAAAACTATTGTATATACTGCAAAAACACTAGTCAAAAATGGTAATTTTCATCTTTAA